AAGTTATGAAGACTATTAACTATATGTTATATATACAGCACACAAGGATATGCTTTTGTATATATGCACATATATTTTAAGTATAATTTGCTAAAGCAAAATGTTGTGGTAATAGATTAAACATTTCCCATACTGGATAAAATTATACTTTTATTTTATGTAAGTTTCTTCATTTTCTTTAAAGGACACGTTTATCTCTAATTTTGTTATCATCCTTGTTTTTCCTATTTAAAATCTTTAGGATATACTGTTCTTTTGAAAATACTGGTAATAGAAATCTGAATAGTCTTACTCCCCAACTAGAAAACCTCGAGACCAGCGTGGTTTGGAGACCACTTCACATAGCCTTTAGATTAAGACAGTAATGTATCAGAGGCTGGCTATGACTTAATGTGCAGTTGCTATCAATCCAATAACTCAGTTTGGAAATGAACCCAAGAAAGCTTCCAGTTCCTGCCTTGGTAGTGAACTAGCATAGATTACTAGGTCATAATTAAACCTGGAAAATCTAGAGAAGCCAGAGAGATATTACAGTATGAAGACCTTCAGTCTGGTTTGAAATCCATCTTTGTTATGGTTTATATCTGGATGTACCACCAAAGCCCCATGCAGTCATGGGGTGGGCTTCTAGAGTTTGTGATTCATTCATGGTACAATGCTGGGATTATGGGTGTGTGAGATATGCCTGCTCTGGGGCAGGCAGCCTGCATACAGTATAAGGGAGGGAAAGAGTCTCACTCTGCTCCTCCATTTTTTGCTCTTGCTGCTTTTGCTGTTTTCCACCACCATGAACTGTTGCCCTCTGACATGTGCCACCCTGCCTTGGAACCAGCTGAATAAGGACTGAAACCTCCATAAACTGTGAGCTAAATAAACCTTTCCTTCCTTATTTTGGGTGTAAGGTATTTTGTCCCAGCAACAAGAGAAAAGTAACCAAGACAATTTTGAACCATGTTTGTGAGGTATGTGTGTGTGTGTTGTTGTTGTTTGCCTATATGATTGACAGCTGGATCCCATGATAGATGGTAGCTGGAGAAAGCATAGAGAAATTTGGTTTAAAGAAGGCTTCATTCTGGTCCTGCCTTGGAAGAGTCATTGTCCTGAGAGAGACTTCATCTTCCACCATGCACAGTCATGGTGACAAGCTGCTCACCTTGGTCTTCAGGGGCTCAGACACATGCTAGTGGTTTGAATGAGCTATTGATAAAACCAGCACTCCCTGTTTTGCATGTAAATATTATTTGCTTCATTCTGTACTGTTGCTTTAAACGCAGTGCCTACAATGCCTGCCTGGCAAGCACAACATCATGAGTTTGATTCCGGGTACCAGAAAAAAAAAGATACAAAAACAAAAAATACATAAATAAACACAGTGCTTAGCAGTTAATCAAGAATCATCAGACAGGAAGCAAGAAAATTTGACCAATGTATTAATATGATGTGGAAGAAGGAAGCAGTGTAAAGAAAGAGGATCTACACTGCCAGATATTAAGACACAATAAGCCTTAATGCTATAGTTGTACAGAAAGCTATAAGGGCAAGAACCAGGTCATGTTGGACTAAGGACAGACATATTAGCCAGTAAACAAAACAGTGGTCACAGAATCTTATCCAGGATGGTAGAGTCTTTCTACACAAGCTGATGAGTGTTACATGGCATGTAGCAATACAACCAATTTATAAATGATAATGTAATAATAAAAAAAGCACACAGAAAAACCCCGTGTTTCTCATGGTTCCTAAATGGAATTCTGCAGCCCATTGTCTGACCTAAATACGTTCCGTCTCAGTAAAGGGCAGGAAGACCAAAGCCACTGTTGACTAGTCTTTGAATTATTAACAGAGCTGACAGTTTAGATCTCAGTAAACAGCTTCCAGTACTCTTATGTTAAATGTTAATTACAGCGTTTCAGGACTCACTAGTTAATTGAATTGGTAGTCAGAGAATCTAACAGTTACTTTATATCGACCACACGCTGTGTGGGAGGAACGGGAACCTGCTCTCTGGGGACTGTTGAGCCAACAGCATCATTTCCACTAGCGGCACTGCACAGGGATCACCACCAAAGCACGGCAGACCTCCTGCAGAGCTTGGGCCCAGTGCGGTGAGCCACGGCCTTTCTGTGGTAGTCACTGCGCTGCAACTGGAAGTTCTGGTAGGGATTTGTCACCATCGTCTTTGGGTCAAATGGTGGAAAATGCAAGCGTGGGAGATTCTGTCCTGGGAGGAATAGACTTCACAAGCAATCTGTGATGTGCTTGTGCAAATCTAGCCATCTTTCTAAAGTAGACAGATGCTCATATTCTCAATATATGCCTTCTTGAGAATCTCAGTATGTTGTTAGGATATGCAGGATACCATGGACTTTCACAAGGACCATGGAAGAATTTTTGATTTTGCAATTATGGCCCATTTTTCTAATACCTTCTTGGTGCAAATATACCTGCAGATGTGATCACAGCAATAGCGAACGTTAAATCTTTGCTAGGTTTTAAGAGTTTTACGTGTAATGTCATAACACCCTGATGAGATAGAAACTGTTGTTACTGTTATTTGTAAGGTGAAGAATCACAGACACAGAGGGGAACATACGGGGAACATCTGCTGTTAGAATCCACACTAAGTCCTTTGCTCACGCATCCAACTAACATGCAAAAGAGGGCAAAGGGCATCCCAGGAAGGAACTAATGTACCAGCATCCTAACCTGGGAAAGGGGAAGGGTGTCATTTTAGGGGCTAAAAGGACGCCAGTGTGGCCAGGGCGTGACGTCAGCAGGAGGACGTGGTAAGCAAGTGCAACTGGCAAGGAAGCGGGGTCACGTCACACAGGACTGGGAAGCCGGTAATGCGGGCGATGTTCTCAGAACAGAGGATGCCACCGACACTGTGGGATACAAGGTCTCCCACAGGCTCCTGTATTTGGAGGGTGATGGGATCCGGGGTGCTGTGCTCATCCGTGGACTCGCCCCTTGCTGAATTCATAGTGGAGTGTGCTGTTAGGAGGGGGCCTCAGAGGAGGAGGTTGCTCACGAGGGACCGGGGTGTCAGGTGTGTTCCCATCCCCCGCCTTCCTCTGTCTCCTCCTGTTCTCTCTGCTCTGCCACATAATGCGAGTGGCCTCCCTCTGCCAGGCCTTCTGCCTCAGAACCTGCTGACCACGGGATGGAGCCTCCCAAACCGGGCCAGAATAAATCCTTCTTCCTTTCAGCTTGGTATGTCAGGTATTTTGTCCCAGCTGTGGGAGAGCTGACTGCTGCTGCCACCAATTCTGAATTTTAAAAAACCCCAAACACTCTTAGTTGTGTGGGAAGTGGGTTGGCTGCTTTGTTTTATAAACGCATTCTTACAGAACATCCCTACATCCTTTTGCTGACATCCTCTGTGGCTATTTTGATGCTATACTGGCGGAGGTGTGTAGGTGTAACAGGGGCAGCAAGCCTACACTAGAGACTGCCTGGCTACATCTAGAGAAAATTGGCTAGTGCTGTGTTAGAGGGTAAAGTTGGAAACTTTAAGAAACTATCTCATTTCTCAGTGAAGAGGCGCTAGAAAGGGGGTGTAACGGTGAGGAGAGGACTAGTGTAGGGCACACTTCGAAGGCGTTGTCATAATCAGTAGTCCTTACCTTGCAGGGGCCGTGGCAGAAATGTCAACACTTGGCTACCGCAAATCGGGCCTTGATTCAGCAGCTTGAGAGGACGCAGCGCTGAGGAGCAGAGCCCTGGCATCTGCATTTCCAGCCAAACCCGCAGCGTGAGCGTGCTCAGATCCCACTTTCAAATCCGCTTTTCTAGATGCGATTTGCAAAAGTGATCAAGGGTGGAAGAAATGTTGGGGTCCAGCGTGATTTTCCAGCTTTGAGCCTTGAGAATTTAGGTTTAAGGTCGTGGTATTTTGTGCAATGGAAAAGGCATAGGAAGGAAGAGATTTCAGAGGGAAAATAAATCTAAGTTCACGCTGGGGCACTCTGAGCTTCTTGGGAGACATCTAAGTGGAGATGAGCTGGACAAGACAGAAGGTGCACTGGACAAGGTTCGACTTGGGGAGAGAGCACCGGGAAGGCTCAGCGCGGGGAACGGGGGGCTTGCAGAGAGGGTCAGCGTGAAGGAAGAAGGTGGGTGACTTCAGAGGGGTCCTTGAGGAGTTGTCACCTGGGAGGTGGCATGTGGGAGACCATCCAGCCAGTTAAAAGTGAAAGAGAAATTATCCACCGAACCACGGGAGAACACGATTCCATGATTCAAACAGCCAGAATCATTTCTGCAGAAAATATTAATAGAGTATCTTTCTAGATGGTCCTCAGCCTCCAGACTATTCCTCACATTGCAGTTACAAAGAGGTTCCTTCCTTTCTTTCATTCTTTCTTTCCTTTGTTTTTGAGACAGGGTCTTGTTCTACAGTCCAGGCTGGCCCAGGCTGGCTGAGAACTCACAGCAATCCTCTTGCCTCAGCCTCCTGAGTGCTGGGATTATAGGTGTGTGCCATCACACCTGGCTAGAGAGATATTTCAAAAAGCAAATACAGTTTGATGAAGTTATCCCTTCACTCGAAGATTTCAATAGTTCAACTTTGAGCCATGTGGTAATACAACTGATCTGGAAAGTTCTTTCCAAGAACTGAGGCAGACAGGTCACAAATGGCCGACAGTTTGGTTGGTAGAACACAGACACAACTACTGTCTCCCATCTCAGGACAGGGACCTTTCCAGAGGCCGCACCCTAGGTAGCGGTCCTGGCTTAGGACTTGGCCTTTACTTCTGTCTCTTGCCGAGGCTGCTGCAATGAGCAAAGCAAGCAATATGAGTGGCTCTGCAGTAGTGACGAAGCCATCAATGTTCCGTGCTTTGTGCACTTGCCTGCTCACTTGTTTAATGTCCATCGATAATTTGTCATCACTTTAAGGACGAGCCCTTACCTATCCACTGTTTCCCAGCAAACACCACCCCACATACATATACAGGACCAAAAGTTACTACTAAAGGTGTAAGCACAATTGCTAAGGTAGCATTGTTATTTCACTTTTGTTTAGATCTCAAAAATGAATTGAGGCCGGGTGTGGTGGTGCACACCTATAATCCTAGCACTCGGGAGGCTGAGGCAGGAGGATCGTTGTGAGTTTGAGAACAACCTGTGCTACAAAGGGAGCTTGTTTTGGTTACTTTTCTCTCGTTGCTGAGACAAAATAGCCAACTCCCAAAATGAAGGAAGGAAAGGTTTATTTAGCTTACAGTTTGTGGAGGTTTCAGTCC